AGACCGTTATTTACATTGTAACGCGTATTAAATAAAGGTTGTTATTGAAAAATAATAATAAAGGATGACATAAAACAAAGAATGATTCCTTTGACAGATTTTGAAACGCTTTGGAAAGAAGGTATGTTACGGTATTAGTCTTTTTAACAGTAGATGTAACCTGTTCAGTGGAACTTGAAGCTCCTGTATATAATGACCCCGAGGTCGTCCGCGAAAAAAGAATGCTCAGATTTTAAAAAGTCGCTTAGCTCAGATATATATATATAGGGAAAATAAGACAGGACCCAGAACGGAACCCTGTGATACGCACGATTTGACAGGAAAGATGTTGGAAAAGGAGTCATCAACTTTGACAATGTTAGTAGTGGCGTATATTTTAGCAACAAATGAACATCAACTAAAAAACGGGCAAAGCGACGTTGCAGAGTACGAAAAATATTTTCAAAACGGGCGCAGCATGGAGCATTTGCAAATTGGATAGACGAAATGCGCTTATGGGATGAAGATAAATACTACAACTATTTTAGAATGTCTAGCGTACAGTTTTGATGATTTATTACATCTCGTTGGACCACAATTACAAAAAAATGATCAATTTAGGACAGATGTCCTTTCCACTGCCGAAAGGCTCAGCATGACGTTAAGGTGAAACAGTTATTTGAACATAATCACTAGGCTTCGGATTTTAGGTCGTTAAAAAATGAATAAAAGGAGACATTTTTGACGAATTAGGTTATAAAAATCTTAGTTTAGGTTAACCTGGAGGAAAAAATATTTGCTCAACGAAAAAGCATACATCAAAAATATATAAAAAACAACATTAAACAAAATATTATAGAAACAAATATTTTGTATAACAAATAAAAAAATGATTAAATAAATAAACGGTCTATAGTTACGTCTACTAATTCTAAGTTATCGCAAAAGAAATGGTAATCAAATTAAAGCAAGTCGCATTTAACAAAAAATAAAATATTAATTCAGGTATTTAAAATGAGTTTCAAAAGCAAATTATATATTTCTCTAAATTTTCGATTGTAAATTTACACCTTTGATCGCTTAAAACACTTTTAAGTTTTGAAAACGTGCGTTCCACATCACAAGAAGTGATGGCTGCAAAATTAAATATAGAAAAATCTACGTTGTCATTTATGTATGTATTGTCTGCAGCATTTCCATTACCGCAAATTACGTTATTTAGTGTACATATAAAATCGTATCCTGGATTCTTTTTTAATGGAGAACATAATTTTTGGAACGCCATTTCCCCCACCTTTCCTGGTGTGTTTTTTAGATGTATACACTTTTTCCACAATTTCCATACTTTGGTTTAATTTTAAACCTATAGTTTCTAATTGTTCTATTGCATCATCAGTAATTTTAAAGTGAGTTTTAATGACTTCAAATGACATTACAACCTAAAAATATTCAATATAAGAATGATAGTAAAAAAACCCTTACATATTTACTGACTTGCTTTAAAACATCAAAGTGTTCTGCATAAAACAATGCTGCTTGAAACCAAGTGCCCCACCTGGTTAATGCAGGTTCAGGTGGGAGAGGTGTATTTGGTAAACTCTACTCTTATTGGTGCTTTTGAAAAGCTTTTCTTGACATTGCTAATTATCCCATTGACATCTGGATAATTCAGTCTAATTGTTTCAGACACTAAATGTAACCTATGTGCCATACATGTTAAATGTGTTATATTTTCATAAAACACCTTCAAATTAGTACCAGTTTTGATCATGTATGAAGCACCATCTGATACAAACCATTTATCTTTTTTGTGTTCAGCTCCTTTTGGTCACAATAAAGCTACAAATTAACAATTAAATAAATTATAATAATTTCAATGCTTAAAATTATCAATACCACACCCAAGGATTCGTTTATAAATCTCGAGATTGCGTTGCTATTAGTTTTATCAAGCTAATTTGTTTAATTACCTGTAATTTATAAAATTTATGTTAAAAAGTTTTTAAATAAAAATTCTAGTGCTTACCATATCGTAATCTTCTGATAAATAATTTTTTCTCAGAGTGCTTTCTGAGGGTAAATGCCTTCCTGTATATTTATGCATAACATTTTTAAACTCAGGACAACTAACTTTATTCCATGGAATATTTGCTGCGATAAATGCCCTACATAAATCGGTTCAAAATAGCGTAAAATCATTCTCGGAAGTAATGTTTAATGAAGTCTGTTTACTGGATTTATTCTTGGTCTTTTGATGTGCATCGCCACTGCAGTTTTGTTCAAAGTGTGATTTTTTTTCGCACTTAAACTAGGAAACAAAAATGTGAACATAATTCAAGCTTCAGTATTTTAAATGTTTACTTACAACTTTTCCACACACTGCAGAATAACTCATTATCTTTGGTTGAAGAAGGAAATTGAAAATTAGTGTCCAAATTATTCCCCAACCATAATTTGATTTTATCTTTCATGGATGATTTTACCTTAGGCATTTTGAGGATTCTTTACTGTATGCACAAAAATCAAAACTAGCCCCAGCACACTCACTAATACGTAAAGACACTCAGTATCACTAGCAATAAACTTCTAAAATAAAATGCTTTTTCAGAGATTCACCTCCTTCCGGCTATAATCTAAATGAAGTGCAGGCCAGCGTTGTCAGTTGGCGACACCAACCCGTACCATTAAACTCAAGGGCGTTGTTTACAACCCATTTTTAAACCATCTGCCAGCCAAAGCAATGAATTCACGGAAAATCTCTAGTGTGCAAGCACGTCCGCTTCGTTCGTCGTGGAATCCTATTTTAAGCCTTTTAAAATTTACAGTTAGGTCGTTTGATTAACACTTTAGGTCTCTAACGGTAAATTAGGCATTTTAGGTAGTAATAAATTGGCGTTAAATAAACAGAATTTTTTAAATTCGGATAAATATATATATAAATTTCGCTGCAATGCCTGAAGTAGATATAAAAAGGCAAAAAACCTAAGATCCGAAACCTAATAATCACAGATTTTTAAGATTCCAACTATTGCAAGTATTTAGCAATTGGGCATCATATGATATCTATGTCTTATTTACACCGTGTTGGGAAAAGTACTGTTTCTGGTATTAAAAAAGGAAACTTGCTAAGAGCTATGGTTGTGTTTGAAAGACATAAGCTTGTAGTTGCCTTCACAAAATGAATGGTTAGCTATCGCTGAAGATTTTGAGCAGCAGTGGCATTTTCCCAACTGTATTGGTGCTTTGGACGGGAAATATGTAGTAATAACAGCACCATCACATTCTACAACTACAAAGGCTCTCATAGCGTGGTACTGATGGCAGCATATGATGCAAATTATTGTTTTACATTAATTGATATTGGAGCACACGATCGCCAAAGTGATGGTGGGATTTTTAAATTGTCTGCCATGGGAGCAATGTTTTATCAAGTAAAAATTAATTTGCCAAGGAAACGACGCATTTCGTTTGTAGGCCACCATTGCCATATGTTCTAGTAGCAAATGAAGCCTTGCAGTTGACGACTTATCTAATGAGACCATTTCCAGGACGAAACATTGAACAACGTTTGTCAGTAGAGCAAGAAGAGTGATAGAGAACAGTTTCGGCATTCTTGCTGCGAACTGGAGGACAGTGGCGGCTCCTCAGAGGAGGCAGGGGAGGCTGAGCCTCCTCTGTTTTTTTGAGCTGAGCTTCCTCTAATTTTTTTCGATGAAAGAATTTATATTTTTGTAGACATTTGTTATTTTTCAGAATATTTTGCTGGATTTCATTTACTTTCATCATATATCAGGTTAAAATGTCGCAAAAATTTATATTTACGCCCTCACAATCATAATTCACATTCACACCACTCCGCGTTTGGTTTCAGCGGCAGAGGCTTGTTAGCCGCTAGCCTCCGCCGAGAATGCATCTTGCTATTGAGACCGTAGACCTTGACGCATCGTCAGTCTGTATTGCATTGGCTAAAACGTTCATGGGACTGCCGCTCCAAGCCGCTAGCCTCCGGCCAGTTCATCTCTTTTCAGATCAAGTCGTACAGATAACTTTATCTCTTTCTTATTAGTTGGCGCAATCGGGTGTAAGTAGGAAAAACTTTGAGGTGGTTTCGCGAGCTCCCTGTTCAGTGATGGTGATGTTTAGGCTTTACGTAAGTAAGGGTACAAAAGGGGAGACCAACACCATCACTCCCATTAATTGTATTGACAGTTACAATTAGAAATAAAACAGAGCATTTCATGAAAATAATTATAATAAAACTAAATAGTTTACGGCTTCGGTTTTAAGAAACAAATTATACTGTTGGAATTGTGTATTATTTATAAGTGATAAATCTTCCGTTTGGGGTAAAACAGGCTAAAATAATTTACAAAATTTGTCACGAGCTATAGAAAGGCATGAAAAATCATAGGACCACATATTTTCTTCGATTAAATTAGAAATGCTTGTAAACAAAACAATGCCAATCATTTAGATTCGGCTCATAAAAGGGAGAACTATTACGAGAAAGTTGGTGAAAATTGGGCAATTTTGAAAAGACTAATCGATGCAAAAGTTTATTTATCTATCAACGCACGAGTGTTCTTTTCGTGGGCATGACAAAAAAAATATTCAGATAATGAAAGATATAAAAAGTAGTGCTTTTCAAATTTGAGCCTCCTCTGAAGAAAACTTCACGAGCCGCCACTGCTGGAGGATCTATGGACGACCTATAACTACAAGCTTGGAAACGATCGAATAAATTATATTGGCAACAGTCTGTCTACAAAATTTTCTCAAAAAAGACGACAATAATTTGCGTTCTGTGGGTAGACTATATTGTCCTCCAAATTTTTTTGACAGAGAGGATGAAGAGGGCAATATACTATATGGAACGTGGAGACAAGAGATCACTACCCTACCAAGTATTGGAAAGGCTGGTTCTAATTCCCACTCTCAATCTGAGGCTCCAATTAGAAATACTTTTAAGGAGTATTTTGTTTCTGAAAAGAGCTGTACCATGGCAGTGGAAGTGAAATTAATGATAGTTATGCTTGTTGTGTATTACATATAAATATTCATAATAAAAAATTGAAAACAAAAATTTTAATCACGCAATCCACATTCCTCCTCTTTTTCATATAACAATTGGAGAATCTAGATCTCCAATTGTGATCTGGCAACCATCGCAACCCTGCTGCCAAACGTGTGCAGAAGGCATCACTTTCATTCGGTATATGACAGTCTGACTTTCAAGACGCTTCCTTTTTGTATTTGTTGGACCACTAGAACTAATACTGGTTCTCGTACTGATTGTAGCACTGGAACTTGTGCTGGTAGAACTGGTAGAAGCATGGTAACTTGTTGGTTTTTTGGGTTTTATGACATCCCTCAAAAATAATAATCATGTGTAATTCCACCCTCATCCCCAGAACGCTTGGCCATAGAAAATTGGAATTCCTTTACAAAGCGATCCCGCAAACTACGTCAGCGCAATTGAATTTCCTGGAGGTCCCTAAAATGCCCATCAACCTCCATGACCACTCCTTCCCATAGCCGGTGTATTATATTTCTGCTTCGATCACTTATGGGCAACCTGTGGTCATACAGTGCTGGTCGACTTGCAATGGCTATCATCATCAACTCACTGTTCTCGGTAGTATTATACCGACTGGCATCATTTGTTAACCGATTTGTTTCGCCAATTTGAAACAATTGATGTTGTCCACCAAAACAAGGATGGGTGGCTTCAGACTTTCAGACCCAACTGCCAGTTCCTCGTCGCATGCATCACAAATCCATTGGGCATCCTGCCATGTAGTAAGTAATTCCGTTTAATAATTTCATATACCTATTTTCGCTGAATTTACAGTAGAAAGCTCAAAAGGTAAAGTACCAACAAAAACACATTATTTTGGGCTTGCAAGTATAATAATACCATCTACTGTACATCCAGGCCACTTTATTTGGCTACACAGTTACCGCAAAATAAAAATAAATGTAAAATATAAAATACGTACCCACTATGTTTATGTTTATTTAAACTTAACCTCAAAATTTTATTTTACAGACAACCTCACTTTTCAAACCTGTCGACGGAGAAATTAGGGGTCAAAATGACGGGAAAGTTGATCTTCCCTCAACTTTTCCGGTATGGGATAGAATGTTACCCTACCGCCCTCTACTCAATGAAACTTGATTTCTGATTGGCCAACGGATGAACGGATCTTTATATAGTAGGGTTGGCCATGAAAATCTAGTGAGTTTGTTGGTATTTGATGCAGAAGAATAAAAATTCCCTGAACTTTTTTCGTTAGGTTATATTTTACTAAATTAAAGGTTAAAAAATATGCCAGAAATATAAACATTGTTGGCGATACTTTCAGTTTTCAGTAGCAATGACCAAGTTAACGGTATCCATTTCTTAGAAAGCATAAAACTTTACGCTATTTAAAATAGTTATTCGGCTTTTTGTAAGTGTTTATTTCATATGTAAGGAACAAACACTAAAATTTCACTTAAACATTGTTTTTATATGAATGGGGTTCTACATACGACTACTGTCGCATGCCACATTTAACATCTCATCTTTAATTCTCAATCATCAGTTCGTTCTGCTCGCCCACTCTTCTTAGAAATGGAAATTTCGACCTTTGTGAACAGCCTATTTCCGTATCTTTCAACTTCTTTTTTCCCTTTTCTAAGATTACTAAAAGGGTTGGTAAAAGACAACAACCTTCTTCTAGTGCTTTGATGGGTTTAGCTCTTCTGAAACATTTTTCCGGTCTTAAATTGAATGATTTATCTATATAGCTATTACTAATGCTTAAGTAAGTGCTCTTTATTTGCTTTTACTAAGTACTTCCAAACACTTATTAATAAGAACGTTACTATACGCCTTCTCCAGGTCTATGAATAGTTACAAACAAAAATGAAAATGCTTAAAATTTGGTGCAAAATAACAACGTGGATGATGTAACTAAAATTATACTTATTTTGTTGTACCTCAGGTAGTTTTTCACATACTACCTTGGTAAATTTAGAACGAAAGATGCATAAAAATATCACCCCCCGACAAACTACAATTCACTCAATTTCCATTATTTCGTTGTGAAAATCTGTATCATCACCGTTATTCAAATTCTAAATTAGATTCACCTAGCGAAATAATGAAAGGAGGTATAGATTCGTACGAAAGATTTCCCATATTTTTTTCCCAATCTGCCAAAATAAGTTTTTCACAATGTTTACAAAAATTTTGCCACATGCTTGGAGTACCTTTAAATAATAATAATAATATTAATAATAAGTTTAATAATAATAAGTTTATTAGTGCATAAAAACTACAGCGGTTTTTGCATAGGTCAAGATACAAAATTAAAATTAAATACATTTAAACTGAAAAGTACAACACATCATTTAGAAACTCTTCAAAGGTGTAGAAAGCCTTTGAGAGCAAATACAGTTTCAAAGTAATTTTGAATTTACGCATGGACAGAGTTTGCACGTCATGGGACAACTTGTTAAAAAACTTTATGCCATAATATTCGGTACCATTTTGAGACTTGTGAAGTCTCAGTTTTCTCAAGCGTAGTTTAGACTTGTACCGAGTATCATGATTGTGGACATCACGATGACACAAGTAGTCACTTAAATTTTTTTTTATAAAAATAAGACAATGAAATATATATAGTGAGGGTAGAGTAAGAATTTTAAGTTCTATAAATTTGTCTTTGCAATCTTCTCTGTACCCAAGTCCCGCAATAATCCTAACTGCCTTACGTTGGAGATTAAAAAATCTGTGCCGTATTGGAGAATGACCCCAAACTATTAGCCCGTAAATAAAATGACTCTGACAGAGAGCAAAGTAGGCATTTTTTAAGAAATCGGTAGGAACTTTGGTGCTGAGGTTTCTCAGTAGAAATATATTTTTACAAATAGTTTTGGCGGTCATTTCCTCATGCCAGTTCCATTGAAGATGGTTATCAATATAGAGCCCTAGAAATTTAGCAGTTGTGTCAAAATCATCGTGGAAATCATGCTCTTTCAATGAGAATAACATTTCAACAGTTTTGGCTTTATTTAGAAGCAATCTATTAGCTGAAAACCAAGCTTCTGCTCTTGACTGTGTCTCTTTATGTCTGTGAATTACGTTATTGACGTTAGAACCAGTGCTCACTATAGTCGTATCATCGGCAAATAATATACTATTCTCCTGTAAATATATATAAAGGAAAGTCATTTATAAAGATTAAAAACAGGAGTGGCCCAAGAACAGATCCTTGGGACACTCCAATTTTTATAGGAAGGAGTCCAGAAATTGAATCACCTTCTTTAACTAACTGGTGGCGTCCGGAGAGGAAAGAAGCTACAGCTATGGGGACTGATATTATAGATATATAATTTTTTCACCAAGATGTCGTGGGAGACACAGTCAAAAGCTTTGGTCAGATCAAGAAGGCTGATGACTCCAAATTCATGTTTCTCAAAGCATTGCAATATAAGCGCCTCAAGCCATAAATTCTCCACCTTATTTTTTAATGAATGTTGAGAATTCATATGCTTGTTGTAATAGTTCTTACAAAATCCCCACGCTATTTCAATTGGATTGTATTGGTACGGAGGTAATCTAAGAACTTCATGACCACTTTCTCTTAATGTCTCGTCTACCAATTATCTTTTTTTTCTATTGTTTCTGAAGGGTTTAATTAAATCCCACAACTTCTTCGAACATTTTTTGTCAAATTCAACACTACGTTTAAAGAGCCATTCCTGCATTTCACATGTTTTACTAGAAAAAGTGGGTGGTTTATCCAACTGAACCGAATGATACGGTGCATTATCTAAAACCACCACACATTTTGTTCAACCTTGCCAAAGCAGGAATAAGCTAATTAACCACCCAATTTTGAAAAATTGTCCTGTCCATCGTTTTATAATAGTCTATCGTTATTTTTTGAATTTAAAAATTTGTTACAACCATCCAAGAACCCCGTTGAACAACCCGCGTGGAGAATAGTAAAACTTGATCTTTCACTTTTAATTTTGGTGGGATTGCTTTATAGATCAGTATCGTGCACCCAGCGACGAATGGACGAACCATTTTGATAGACCCATGTTTGATCCAAATACAAAAAAGCCTAATTTTCACAAAAATTTAGAAACTGTAAATATGTTCTCAAAAAAGTAATTTTGGCTGCAACGATATGTTTTTGTTCACATAGAATTTTGCGACCATTTACTTCCCTGCGTTTATAACCCATTGACTTAAGAATTTTGTATAATATGGTTCGCCCCCATTTAAATTCCAACTGTTCCCTAGAATATGCCAAAAGAGTATCTACAGTGAAATATTCGTTTTTTTCAGTAAGTTGCCAAATTGTTGATAAAATTTTCGCCACAGTTGATGTTCCCACCTATGAGAAAAAAAATAAAAAAATATTTTACAGCGTATTTTTCCATTAAAGAAAATATGTTCGAGACCCTCATAGTTCTAAACAAAGATCGGGCCTGTCTTTTTGAAACTGCAAAAAACATCTTTTTATTGTAATTTTTTGTTTTGATTTTTTAGGCATTTTCTTTTTAAATAATGTCGCAGTGATCTGTGAATCTGTCACAATGACAGATTATCTATGCTGACAAAATTAAAACATTTGTTTGCTTGATTAAAAAATTGCGTCTGATAATTTTTATCTAATAAATGAAGTAGAAAAGTGGCATTCCAGCTCAAAGCAAATGTCAATCAGACTACTGACAGACGAAAAATTAAATCATCAAATCAGTTTATCCAACTTAAAGAAAAAATATCAAAGCCTACTTTATTATACCTATAAAGATCGTGAATGGATAGATAATAGGTTCACAAGCTTTACGAAAATCTGCGATCCCCATTTAAAACTTAATGGAAGCTTTTTTGGACTAGTGATACTTTCAGGCAGATGCAACTTTCGGTTTCTTAGGTCATAAGTTTACAACATCTGTAGAAAAGTATTAAAGCAAAATAAAATTAAGTATAACATAAAACATATATTAAACAATAATATACCATCACAAAGCATCACAATAAAAAATATAACAAACAATAAACAAGAAATTTACTACAAAAAAGCTTAGTTTACTCAGTTTATAGTAAATACGAACTCTATATATTTAGGCACATTTTTATCATCATGTAGTGGATAAGTTTTAAAATCGGTGTAATAATTAATCTCCTTAGTACTTAAAAACTGTTCGTCCTAAAGAGTAGTTATATAGTGAAATGAGGTCAACCCGAGCTAGGAGCCCCACAACTTTTGATCTAGCGGTCATTGATCTTTTTGGTCGACAATTGACTCTTGGTGTGTGAACGTGACTGACCTCGGCGTTGACCTTGCTTTGTCATCGCCTTGTGCTCGATCGATCTGACTCTGTGTCCGTAGTCAGGTTGGCCGAGCGGTCTAAGGCGTCAGATTTAAGCTCTGATTCTCGAAAGAGAGCGTGGGTTCGAATCCCACACCTGACAGTTTTTTTATATGCAGTTCTACAGTTTTGTTTTGCGTTTAAATAAAACACAATTTAATATTACGTCATTTATTGAGGAAATATTTCATACAACCAATTGTATAGACACTTAGCATTATTTAAAGAACAGTAACATTTTTTATTGTTAGATATATGATTATCACATGATGGGATTTCTTTAGGCAATTTCACACAGTCTGCAATTGTTTCGAGGTTCACAACTTTGGGGCAGTCTTTTCCTAGTGTTTCCATGAGATAATTTTCTTTGCATTTTCCTTTTACATTTAAGACCTCCACTCCATGTTCCTTGATGTATTTGAGCAAAATTTCTTTTGCAAATATCTGATCCTTGGAGCCGTCATTAAATCTCAACATGTGATGGTAACGTTCTAGATATCTGGCTTGTTTCTTGGTTTTTTCATCGAGTTCGTTGAATTGTTTGGTGGATTTGAATGTTTCATGTATTGTGTTAGTCCCATCGTATATCGTAAGTTCTTTTGCAATGAATTTTTGTAGAGTAAAACCTTGTACGTCAACCACAACCAACTTCATCTTGTCAATTATTTCGACTGAGAAGGAAGCGACTATGCAATTGTTTTTGTATCAATCCAACTATTGTGGGTGCTATTAAATCCTAACCACTTGACATACAGTTGGTTGCCTTTCTTTTTTAAAACTTTTTCAACGAGATACACACCTGGATGCTTAACTTTTAGTAGTTCCATTTCGTAGAAGCCACCTAAAATGTTTTCACCCTTTTCATCTTTCAAAAAATATGTGATGGGATTAGTGAGATTAATTTTCCTTATTACGAAAATTTCATTTGACCAATTGGGTGTGTATCCCTTATCAAAGATTCCACGATATTTACTTATTCTTACGTTGTCACCAACTTTAAATTTTTGTTTATTGCTAACTATTTTAATGCGAGTATAAGCAGCTTTTAGAATAGCTTTCTCATTACTTTTGTTAACTTGTGAGGGTTTCATTTTTATAGTACGATGATAAGAATTATTATATTGATGTACCACATTTGGCAATAAATCTAACCATTTATAATTTCCCTGCAAACTAAATTCTTTCCACATTAAATTTTTCAACGTGCGATTTACTCTTTCAACGATTGAGGCCTTTTTTAATCTGTAAACACTGTAATGATTAATTTTGTATTTTTTCATAAGATTTTGAAACTTTATATTATAGAATTCTTTTCCTTGATCTGTTTGTAAATTTTTGGGTAACCATACGATCTTGGATAAAATTGTTTCCATTGCAGTGGTTATTTGTTGAGAATCTTTCGATTTTACTGGAACAGCCCACACATATTTTGAGAAACAGTCAATAACAATAA